GCGGCCACTAAACCAACCGCACAGTGAGCGTTATCCACACAGCCGCAACCAACCTTAACGTCGGCGTTATTTGCCGAGCCCTTCGTATACTCCACACATCGACACCAACTTCTTGATGTAGTATCAACCTTGGATCAGAGTCGGCGCCAAGCACGGCCTCTGTCCCCCCTTCCCGATCTCGTTCCCGAGCACCAAACTCCCCTCTTCTCCATTTCTCTCTATATTAAATACCTCCCGTCTCATCTGAGACCGCATCGTGGGATTAACCCTTTCTGGATGCTCCACCAATGCAGCAAACAACTTTCCTTTCTTCAGAGACTCTTCTCCGCCTCTGAACTCCCACACTTTGCTATCCTCATCCTCTCTCTCCCTCGAAAAGCCAGTGCCCAATCTAAAAATGTACAGCAGCTATCTATTTGCCGCTGCTTCAATTTACAAACGCACTTCCTTTTCATATGAGTCCGGCCATCGCGTTCGCCCCAGTTAGTAGTTGGTAACACTGTGCACGACAAAAATTCCGCAGAGAGACAAGAGCGGGGAAGTATTATCGAACTGCCATAATCCACTCTAGAGACGCTTTTGCTCTTGGCCCTGCTTGCATTGGAAACGGTAAAATTTGGCGGGCAGTTTACAGGTCTTCGTCATTTTTAAACTTTGTAGCAGCTCACAATGCAGCAGGAATGCTTCCCTGTTTCCATGATGACGTAAAATTCGAGATAAAAGCCCCATTGAACACGTTTTCCGTGCACGCAATGGGAAAACCAAGCAAGCGCGGCCCCGTTCGAGCGACCGGAGCTTTGCCCTCTCTCCGCTAGGGCGAAGAACGGCGCTGCACAAACTTGAGCCTGTCTTCCCTATGATCTACGCTCATGCACGCCCGTTTCGATGCTCACTTTAGCTAGAAATATTGAGCTGGAGGAGCGCAAGCGCTTGCACTTCTGGCAAACCGGGCACATGAGCTTGCATAGGAACAGTTAGCCTTTGCATGCGTGGAATCGCAACTTGGGGTATTGAAAAGTGTGTCATAAGCACTATATGGCGTTACTGTCGAATCGCACTGTATCAAGACTGGTTCCTCATATAGCCACCGGGATTCTGCGGCACTACAACGGGTACATTTTCTCGCGTGCCACATGCATGCAGGGGCCGATCCAGCCACCCATTGTAGGGGGGGGGGGGGGCGGTCACTTGAATAAGCACCTGAAAGGTGGGCGTGGGCATTACTATTTTGTTTTCGCTAGCACAAAAACCCTGTAATGGCATAAATACTGTTAATGTGCGCTCACACTGGTCTTACTCATTTGTCCTAACTGGTCATAGCAGGTGGATGGCAAGCACCGAAGAAAGGAGAGTGGGTGCTGACAGGCTTTGGGGGGGGGGGGGGGAGCGATCACCCCTACCACCCCCCCCACCCCCTTTGGATCCGCCACTGCATGCATGTTATCTAACACTGTGGCCTGTTCGAAGATAGAAAATAACGAATTAAGAAACTGAACCAAGTGGTTTGAAGTGGACGGCAGCGGTTCTGTGCCATATGGGCGTGTTTCCCATTTGTCCTCTCTTGCTAAGACCAAGAAAACACGTGCAGATGTATGCTGTTTGCTGATGACTGCGTCATATTTGAAGAAGTTACCTCGCGGAACAATCACCAAAACTTACAGCAGTCAGTCACAGCTATTTCAGGGTGGTGTAGACTTTGGGTAATCGAAAGAAATGTACAAAAACTGTTTTGCTGCGAGTAACACAAAAAAGGGAACCTAGCATATTCTCTTACGTTCTTAACGACACCATATTATTGGAAGTTGACCAGTACAAATACTTGGGCGTCACTTTCAATAACAGACTTATATTTGGTCAGATAATATATCTCTTACATGCTCTGCAGCCTTGCGCAAATGGTGGTTTTTGAAAAGAAAGCTTAGAAAAGCTCCAGCAAATGCAAAACTTTTAGCATATACCACAACTGTGCGTTCAAAACTTCAATATTTGGTGGTTGTATGGGATCCTCACACCAAAAAAGACATTATGAATTTGGAGTGTTTGCAAAAAATACTGTTGGATTTGTTTTTCGAAAATACAAAAGAAAACATTCTCCGTCACTAGTAATGGTTATCAATAAAATAAGTTCACTGGAACATCACCGTAAATTTCGTGCCTACAGTTCCTACACAACATCATAAAAGTTGAAACTGGCCTTCAGTTGCCTCGTTTTTAGTACCCTTAAAAACACGGATGACTAGACAAAGACGCAACTTTTCTCTTACGCCAATATTTGTCAAAACCAAATCTCACATGAACATTCTTTTTCTGCGAATTATAACAGAAAAAAAAACGCTCTACCTGTTCACGTCACACAGTCGAAGAACTTTGCAAAAAAAATGGGACAACAATTTCTCTTAAAATTGAGTATAAATGTGAGCAGAGTTTTTACTTTTCTTGCAATTCTGTCGGGAATCCCATGCTGTGTGCAGTGCCCTGCTATTGTCTGAAGAGTCTTTTTTTTCGTAGTTTATCACCCGTGTGAATTGTTTTGCGAAGAAAGCATCTTGCACTGTTCGTTTTTTTTTGCTTGCATTGTTTGTCTTTTGTTCGTGCTTTGTCATTGTATTATTGTACTTGCCCCTCCTGCATGTGCCAGCATATTGGCCTGTAGTATCGATAAATAAATAAATAAATAAATAAATAAATAAATAAATAAATAAATAAATAAATAGATAATAAATAAATAAATAAAGTAAGGGGCCAGTCGACGAGAGTGACCACAAGCTGTGCGTCGCTGGTCAAGAGTAAAGTTAAAGAAAAGTGCCGCCACATCCACGAAGTGAATGATGATGAGTGGGCGAAGCTCCGGAGGTAAACCTGGTAAACCATCAATCCTCCGTACATTTTGCCCACTCGATTTTATTGCAACGCTCCCCCTAGCGTACGTCGCCGCACTATATCGAACGATGACACGCGCACTATATCGAGCGATGACACGTGCGATGTGGCATCATTCCTATTTTATAACACCTCGCATCTTTCATAATCAACTACACGTACCGCCGTCTAGTTTATAACATCTTGCATCTTTTGGATGGATGGATGGACGGACGGACGGACGGACGGACGGACGGACGGACGGATGGACGGACGGACGGATGGATGGATGGACGGATGGACGGATGGATATGGCTGTACCCTTTAGATCGGGCGGTGGCTAGCGTAATACTTAATGCTGTCAGCTACAAGTACCGCCATCTAGTGAACACTGCAAGAACTGAACGAGAGGTGGCTACATACAGGGGACGCACAGCCCACGCCTTAAGGAGCTTCGCTCCTAAAAACGGCTGGTATGTGTTGGGGCAGTTCTCGAACAAAATGAACCACTGCAGCGCCATCCATTTCGTGCCACCTGTTCGCATTAGCTCACTGCTCGATGTGTGGACCCTGGTGCCAACAAAGACGTGTACGAGTAAGTCATGTCAGAAAACTTTTTGCTCTTTCTGCGTGGTCCATGTCCGACCGAGCTGCCCGTTCGACTGCTTGTCCTAGAGTCTCGCAACGACGGATGCCAAGGCCAAGCTTATTGTTTCAAGAGCCACTGTGTTTTGCTGAAACCCGAATGGACGGGTGCAACTACTGCGACTGTTTGTTAGATATGCCGTCCTACTACCGGCAGTGCCGGGGCCCCGCATTAAAAGCTGTGGTCTCTGCGGCCAGAGGGTTCGGATGAAATATTTGGTTCACTCCAACCGCGTTTGCACTTGCTCGAAAGGTCTAGAAGAAAGAATATCCTGCAGCAATGACAAGAAAATTGTCAAGCCCCATGGTTTTGAAACGGGAAGCTCGGCATGTGCTAATGGAGCTCGAAGTTGTACTATATGTGGGTGATCATATTTTGCTCCAACATCAGAGGGTGTGCGTATCTTCATAAGCTAATTAACCATTCTTTTAGCACATGTGCCATGGGGTGCAGCCACTAAGTTTCATCGAATCTGCGACCTCTGTGGAGGCGTCTTACCACGTTATGTCGGTCAAACCAAATAAGGTTGAGATGTCATCGTTTAGCCAATAATGAAGTTATTAATCACTAGCGTAAATCACAGGGAGTCAGGGGATCCCGACCCCCCCCCCCCCACTCTTGAAAGAGCCCCCCCCCCCCTTGATGTTCAAATTTCAAACGCCATATATTTGAACTGCTTAAGGTTTATGCATACAGTGCAATTATGTTTTTTTTTGTTTATGCCCGTGTTTAATAATGCCTATCAGCTGCATGAGACTATTGAAATCACAACTGCCCCTCGACCGCCTATAGATGCATTTACGCGAGCTGGGAACCCATAGTCATGTATGAAATAATTTATTTCAGATAATGATTTTAGTTTTTATATACATAATAACATAGACGCCACCAGTTGGTTTCAATTTTCGATAAATCGTTTAGCATTTTGAAGAACAGGAACTGAAATACGGCCGCATCAAGGCAAATCGGGCTAGAAAAGTTTATTTTTCTTTTAAATAGGGGTGTTTCTGCTGATGGATGGCAATCAGTGACTACTCTTGAGAAGTTTTTGTTTCAGAAAGAATTAGTTTCAAGGGACGCTTTTGTGCTTAAATTCACCGATGCCAGTGCTGAGATGGATGATGAATGCCACACGTTTCGCGCATGCTGAAACGCATGTGAAAACGTTCACTGGATTTTATCGTTATACAATGAAATTATAAGCAGGGTACAAATTCACTCTGAAATATTAGTCAACGACAAGTACAGTCATTCCGAAAACGCTCTGAACCTCAGTAGTTTAAATAACGCGCGCTTCGTGGAAGTGCGTCGCAAAGGTGGTCTCTTCGCGCATTCTTTGTCAAAAAATATATTCAAGAAGGTTTCCTCTATGATGTCCTGTATTTATTACTATAAGTATATTTCTTACTTATCATTGGTGTATCGCTTTTATGTACTGACACAAATTTGCAATTGTTTTTTTTTTTTTAGTGTTTGAGAAGCCTTGTTGCTACCCCCGCGCCCTCATGCGGTGTTACACATGTGTGTTCGCCTTGACGCTTTGGTCCGCTTCGTTACAGCTAGCAGCAGTGGGTGAAGTTACCGCGTTGTCGTATGGGCGTGTTGGAATCAATTAGGTTAGCCTTTCGGGGCCTTGTGTGTGGCTAGGGCATCCTTGGGACAGCCAAGGGCTGAAAAGCCCAGATCGAAACAGCCTCTCACATCGCTGCTCAGCACCGTCGGGGGCAATGTTTCTTTGACTAAGACCCAGCTGATTTCTCTCTCGCACTTCGGTAAAAAAGCCAATTGACTAAACTGCGCTCTCCAATGCGTCGCCAGCATGGGTTTTTGTCTACAATTGCGTCTACTGTTATGGAAAAACTACACGCTGAAGAAAAGAAAGCCAGTAAGTGGACGCGCTTTTGCGATTGCATGAATGTTTGTGCGCTTGCTTAGGTGGTGTAGAGATGGGGGAAGCAGAGGGAAACGCTGTCGCTGCAGATGCTCGTTGTCTTCCTATCGCGAGGCTTGCTCTTCGGAAGCGCGCTGTATGGAAAATTCGAGAGAAAAGCGTAAACTGTCATTTTCTCGCGCTTACGTTCAATGCTCTTGACCGTGCTTCCACGAAAAACTGTGGGCTCGTGTACCCTGTCACTCTGTCTGGGTGCCGCGTCAATGTAATCTAATGTGGTTGGTTTAGCAACTTTGGCAGACGTGAACTCTGTAGTTAGATGCGCCTATTGTCTAAATCGCAGATGGCAGAGATGTTTATTTTTCAGTGGTTTATAAATGGTTGCGAATGAGGCTCTAACGACCAGCTTATCATGTTGATATGGATGCGTGGGTGCACTTCCAGCTCTTGCGTGGGCAGCTGCTTTCAAATACCGCTGGACACCAATCTCCGATCTGCAATTTCGTTTGGGGCCCGGTGATATTGTATGCGCATAGTTTTATCCCTAATGGGAGAAATGTTAGGCGTGACTGCTTCCGGTTTCGGTTTTCAGACGACGTTTCAGGAATTTGTGTATGTTATGGGTTGATGCGGTGCGGTATGCTTATCTGCGTAACAGCATTATGATACAGTGTTTAATTCAACGTTAGCAGCTTTAATTCGCACGTGCAATTATTCTGAAATGATTTAGTGCGCGTTGTGTGATTCCGAGCTCTCTCTAGCATTTATTTTACGCTCTCCTGATTAGCGAATCGATATGTACAGTCTCATTGTGTTATCGCGTCGTTTAGTGTGCTGACAGCAGTGCATGCGTTCATATGATACTTAATAACGAATATAATAAACGAAACTTAATATTTGGCGTCATTTTTACTCCTTGTGATGTATGTTGCTGTGCAGTTGGTGCTGCTGTTCGAGCTAGTCATACCACTAGTCCTGTTCTTCATTTTGATTGGCATACGAAAAAAACAGCCAGCCTATCCAGTGGGGTCCTGTGAGTATCATTTCTCGCTTGTCAGAGTTTAGTACTGCTGGTATTGCGAATGAAGTTTCTTTTTTCGCGTTGCTTGTGAAAGGCCCCGAGGAGAAAATTTTTGATTTCATCCTATTGGATTATGAAGCAATAGACCTGATACACCAGTATTTCTGCCATTCAATACATTTGATATTCTGTACTTGTTTAATAGACAATGGGATCAAATGCACTTCATTATGCACTACTATAGCTGCCAGGCTTCACTGATGAAAGTGTAGCTTGGGCAAGTTTGTTTTGGTTTATGATTGCAATTAAAAGAGCACAAACACTAAAAAAAGTAGAAAAAGTGCACATGGCGAGTAGGACTATGAACGAATCTAATACACAAAGAGCCTGTATGGGTCTGTGTATCAATTAAAACACATGTATAGGTGTAGTTTAAGCAACTGTGTACAGAGTTTAGAGCCCTACACTAAGCAGCCGAGCACAGGCTATTATGCAAAAATATATTTGAAATAATTAAAGTCAAGTGAACATTGAAAACACAAAAATATAGTAAAGAATAAGGGTGTAGTCATTTCACTAGCTTGCCCACTTGCTGGCATAATCTGTGCTAGAAACATACATTGAAGTATTTATTACACTGTAATGCAAAAGACAAAGTAGACTCATTGCAAATAAATTGAGAATTATAGCTAAAATTGCCAGTGTATGGGCATAAAAAAAAACAAATTATTCAAACACATGAGACTTGCAGATCACTGATAAATGTGACTAGGACTCGTTTTAAAACAAGTGTGCCTTGTAAAAGACAGCATACCTCATGATTTTTTGCAGTTTTGACATGTAAAACTCTGGAAATCAACAGTAACATACAGTCATCATATTATTTCAGAATTGGTTTGTAACTTCAACAGTCATCCTGAAGAGCTTCACTTGTTTCATAAAGCCGCCTGTAATGCCTAGCCTTTTTTTTGTAGCTTAATGTGAACATGCTATTTATGCATGTGTGCAGATATAGTGGAAGATACAATAAGTGTGATACATGTGTACCACTGAAGGGGCGATTATTATAAGCCAAACTAATATCATAATGGGATAAGTGTTGTACCACTTGATGCAATTTTACAAGAGCAAATACAATCACACTTGTTGAACAGAACAAAGTTTAATAGAACTACATGTACAGCATCTAGTGGGACTCGCAAAGTGTTTTGTCATATATTACACTTTTTGTTGGTGAGATAGACAATTTTATTGGTCCGGTAGAACATTTCATTGTTCTGATAGAAGGCTGTTATATACATTTACAAAACATTTATTGAACCAACATGTCCTTCTATGAGACCTATACATCCTGTTATGAGACCCATATAGTTTTTATTTTTCTTAGACAACAAAAATTAAAAAAAAAATTCTTTGACAGTAAGGCACCATCATTTTTGTGCAACAACTCTCAATGTTGAGGTGGAAATACATTGCTACAGCTAAAATGACATTGAAATGATGAATTAACGAAAATTTTTCAACTTTTTAAGTTATTGGCATGAGGGCAGTTTGTATTGAAAAGTTGTAGCGGGTGACAATTTATGGCATACCCATCATTTAGAAATTGTAAAATTTGCGCGTAACTTGAGATACTCATCCTTGAACATCAATAGCGGTATTAAAACTGACCACGCTCGGCTTGGGAAGCGTGGCCACTCTATTACGTCAGACAACAATGTCCCGTGGCATAGAGGTGATGAAATTTCAGTGAAGGTGTGTTGCGGCCTTATCTTTTCTTGAAAAGCAGCTAGTCATTTCACTTTCGCTAGCGTGCAGCATGTGGTGCTTATCTGTTTCTTTCGAACAATGCTGAAGAAAACTGCTAAATCAACATTTTTTTTCTCTGCAACACAAGAAACTCGGCGCCATCTTTGCGGCGCTTATTGCAGTCAGGTGACAGAGTTTTTCTGCCTGTTCATGGTTTGAGAAAGAAACAGATGGGCACCAAACATTGCACACAGTCAATAAGCTGTCTCTAGTATATATCGGAATGCTTTCCAATTTTTCCGACTAGATTCTGCGGGAGCATGCTTTGTTTCAAATTTCGTCACTTTCTTGTCGAGAAACATTCTTTTCTGACGTAACATAGTGGTCGTGTTTCCTGAGTGCCGAGTGCAGTCAGTTTCGAGGTTGCCATTGAAATCTAAGGATGAATATCTTAAATTACATGTGAATTTTGTGGTTCCTGAAATATGTGTATGTCATAATTGTCACCCCTCATAACTTCCCATTATTAACTGTTCAAATTAACAATAATTTTAAAAGTAAATAATGATTTTTGTTGGTTTGTTTAATGTAATTTTAGCTTAGCAATGTATTTCGGCCTCTACATGGAGTTTGTATGAGAAAACTACAGGATCCTGATTGTCTTAGAATATTCATAAAAAATTTATACTGTCTAAAAAGACACCCTGTATATTTTGTATAGGATCAATGCAGATTCCTTAAAAAAGTTTTGCTTGGAGGGGGCTCATCCACTCTGATGTAGCACAGATGCTGTGTACGAAACTCGATACATCCTAAAAATGCCACTCTTGCTGCGAGACGACGCTTAGAAAGCGAGCAAATGCCCGAAAACAGGTGTAAAAAAGGTGCCCAAAAACATGTAGGTGTAGACGGCACCATGAGATTTCCGCACTAAACACCGTGACATCATAGTTTGGACGGCATCTACTAGGCCCTTTGTTGTTTCTAATCGGTAAAAATGAAGTACATTGTCATCTGTGGAGATAAGACCTATTGTACGAAGCTTCAGAAAATTTTATCAAGCCACTGTCATGAAAATACGAAAAATACATTTCGAAATACATTTTGACGTCACATGCAGAGATGTTGGTGCGAAATTCAAAAATGAAACTTCAACCTTGATTTTCTTTTCTAATAGTGAACTTATGATGGTGAAACATGGGCATTAGATTTCTTGGTTCGCGTTAGTGTCCTTTTAATATAGCCTCCAGTGACTGTGCAGTTATTTCTTTACATTTGCTTAATGCCCCTTTTTTATATTATTCTGAGAATAGTAGTTCAAAGCAATGGCACACTTACTTTAAACCACGTCTTCCTTGAAATAAGTACGTTTCTGATACCACTTATGGAGCAGGTAGAAACATTTATCTCATTACTCAAATGAATGGCATACTTACACTCCCAGTATATGCATGGTTTATTGAAGATTACTGCCTCTTGAGCTTTTAATGTTTACATGAGGTGTAAACTTTTTTTTTTTAGCCTCTTTCCCTGCCTTTCCGCTACCATCAGCTGGAGTCATTGCTGTGATGCAGGCTTTCTGTGACAATGGTGTGAGGGATAGCAATGGCTTTGCGACATTTCCTAACAGCACGTAAGTATTCCTAAATGTGAAAGATGTGAAATGGTCGTGTGAGAGGTTCTCTAATCAGAATCGTATAATGGCGGCTTTCAGCATCCCCTGAGTGGTCACAAGTATAAAATGGCGCTAAGAAACGTTGGCCCTTCACTTTCAGTTCAGAGTTCTGAACTCTAATATAATGTATTATCACCAAAGCCAATACACATTTACAAATGCATTCACAAGTACAATAGACATTCACACATAAGTTCATAAACACAAACTTAAAAGAAAGAGGCCATCATATGACAGGCTTGGTTATTTGATTTTTTAAAAGAAAATGCGATTAAAAAAAAAGTTTCTTCAATCTGTAGCGTAAGGCAATTATAGTGAATTGCATGGTTTTTGTTTTGTGCCATGACATTATGTAAAATAGAGCCCTTTTTGAACAGACTTTTTCCTGCCACAAACTTTTTATGCTGCTAAGCTTTCATATTTTTGAGTCATTAATTGTTCATTATGCTCCACATTACCACATTAACTGTAGAATGCAAATAACTATCAGAAAACTGTGTATAAAACATTTAAAAATAAAAAAAATGTAATGTGAGAAATGTTAAATGCTCAACTCAGACTAATCGCTTACTTTAAGTTCATAATTATTTAATTGATGATGTGTTTTAAAGGTGATAATTGCATTCTTTGCATGTTAAAGAATATCTCGCGAAAATTTAATCTTGATATGGCCATCAGAAGTACCAAAAACATGTTCAAGCTCAAGAATTTGCCCAAAATTGCATCTAGAGAAAAAAAAAGCAGCCCGCATCGTTCCACGGGGGGAACTCGAGCAAATGCGTCACAGAGTGGTGGAGGTATAGCATGAATGTTGCACAATTTCGTATGGTTTGGGAATGCTTGATTGTTATTTTGTCTTCATTATTCTTACTTATTGAATGAAGGAGAAGCATAGCCTTCAAAGTGTGGTGGGACGCTGATGTGCGGCTGTGCCCCACTACTGGTTGAAGGTACTTTGCTTTCATCACATCTGTTTGAGTAAGCAAAGCGTGAAGTCAAGCGAAAGCCAAGTAAAGACGTGCTTGACTGAATTCCAAACGCACGATTCAGTGCCTACATATATGGGAGTGGCCATTGAACAGTCGTGCAGTGCGAACAGTCGGTTTTTCACTAGCAGACGCTGCCTGCGTCGGCCTTGTGAGGCGAGAGAGGGGGAGAGGAGCGAGAGTCGGCACGAGACGCGAGCATGTGGCACGAGATCCGAGTATGCGCAGTGGGGGTGTGGACGGTGCCGTCGACGTCGGATTTGCAACCTTGTGCGGCTAAGAAATTTTTTGCATTTAAAAATGTATTTTAAAGATAGAAATGAAAGCTCATATATGAGGAAAAGATACAAGTTTTAAAATTATTCTTTCATTATGAGAGCTTGAGAATCATGGTTATCTTGAGAATGTGGCTTTGGTGAACTAATGCGAAATGCAGTGTTAAGCAGCTAGGCGACAATTTTCAGGGGGCTCTGCATGATGAGCTCATCTCAATTTCTTACGGCCACCTTGTGCTCTTTAAAGGCGATTTCAGCCTACTTTGAGTTTAGCTACATTCTTGATTTTTTTTGTCATGAAAGTAGAGATACTAAACTTGTGAAAGAAATTAAATGCAAAAATATCTAATTTCAGAAAAAAAAATCTTGCATTTTTCGAGTAGCATCTCCCCTTAACCCTTACAGAAGCCACCTATGAAAAACTGCCTGTAAATGTGTCGATTCTTTCTTCAAGGCACTCAATATATTATTGCAATAATAATAATGAGATATTGTGTTTATGTGTTATAGTTACTCATCATAATTATAATTAAATCTCTTTATTCTGAAGTCATTGATGCTTACTTTTGGCATGACCAGAATCAAATGTCAGGTTAAGAATATAGAGCGAATTCATTTTTGGTTATGTTAATCTTGAGCAAAGAGTTGTTCTCCTTTTCACATTGCTTGCAAAAAACAGCACTTTGCATGACTCGTCAAACGTAGTAGGGCCCTCAGAAATTGATCATGTGTATTAGTACACTGCAAAATGAAGTTAAATAAAGACAAATTCATTATGCAAGAAGTTAAATTCATCCAAAGTGTGATATATCTTCCTCTTTCTTAACCTCAATGTTTAGGCCCGTGTGCTCAGATTTGGGTGCACGTTAAAAAACTCCAGGTGGTCGAAATTTCCGGAGCCCTCCACTACGGCGTCTCTCATAATCATATGGTGGTTTTGGGACGTTAAACCCCACAAATCAATCAATCAATCAATTTCTTAACCTCTACTTGATGCAAGTAGTACAAACTAATGGTGTACACAATTGTGTACATAGTGTCCCAAAGGGTTAAATAATCGCACACTGGCATTTGAATGTGTACTATTTGCCAAGGAATAATTTTGCTCTGGTATTTATAGGGACACTATAGGTGAAGTTTTGCGATTGTCATGGTTTTCTACTGATAGTACAAAGTGGTGATAAGATCCTGTTGTGCCCTGCATACTGTATGCAGTGAGTGTGTGAGAAAGCTTGAGAAAGTGGACTAAGAATAGCGATGTTTTTACACACACAATTTTGCGAGTCCTCTTGTTAAGCCAATTGTAGTGGCTGCATGAGCTGCCAGTGTGACTAAAGCACATAGGTTGCTCGTGTGCTCTTTCAGACGGTCTACAAATCGGGCAAAGGCTAGGAAAGCAAAAATGGCTGGTGGTTTCATGAGTGCTACATATCGAAACCTGATATGTCGGAGGTTATGTCGTGATATTAGAAACGTGTGGATCTGAGATGTGATGTAATACATTTTCTGACTTCTGCTGTGCTGTTAGGTGTGTCAGCTTTGTAGCATAGCATGTTCTTGGTCATGAAGTGAGATTTTTTGATGTTTACTGGTTCGTGTGTAAGACTATGCTTGTTGATTTAATCGATAAGGAATTCTTTGCTGTAACATACAAAGCCAATAAAAGTACATCTTTAACTTTGTGTAGTTGCAGTCATTAGCAATGCTTCACACAATAATTTGCTTTTTAAACCGAACTGCAACTACATGTTTTCAACAAATTGAGAAGCAATGTATTGTGTTTTTATGGCTAACAGCATTAAGGCAAACAGAAATTGACTGGTCTTACTCTGCATTGTTTGTTAGAAAGAGATATTGCCCTTGGATGGCCTGTATAAAAATTTCCGTCTTACAATAACTAGATTCTAACCTTTATTTAATTAAATAAATCTCTTTAAACTTGGTTCATTGATTATTGAGATACAATTTTGTTCTTTTGCATCTGGCATTTAGGTGGGACCTTCTCAGATAAATTTTTTATGCTTTTGTGTTGAGTGGATAGCAGTGTTCATCTTGATTGCACATATGTCTCTTTTACATCTTAGCTCCATAGAAGCAATCTCCACAATTGACAGTTGCTTGGTGACTTTATTGAAAGAACTCATGTTCAATAGATGGTCATTATCTTTCAGAGTTACTCCATTTCTGGAACGACTAAAGAATGTTTCGAAGCACCACAACTTTTTTTTACCTGGATTTACGCTTGGCGACTTAGATCTTATTCCTTCAATCTTCAAGACCATTGTAGAGGATCCCATAGCCCTACATGATTGTTTTTCACAGGCACCAGGTAAAAACTATTCTGTTTTTTTTTGTGGCTACTATTTCAGGTAAAAACCATTTAAGGCTTTTTTTAATGTTAGAAATGCTTTGTGTGTTCTTCTTTGTTGATAAAAGTAGTAAAGTGTGGTACAGTTTAAACCATAGTGTAACTAAGTGACTAAAATCTGCAGTTTACTTCGTTATATCAAAACTTTGTTAAACTGCAGTTTGACCTTTTCAGCAAAGTATAGTTGCCAACGACTTCTATTTTTCGCATAGGAAATTCTAAGGAGTGTTTCAATAATATGGCACCACATATGAAAAACTCAACGTGAAAAAGCTCTCTTTTCTTGTGCATGACATCTTGTGACTACGGCTTGATCCTGCATAGGTGAAGAAGTCGCCTGTACAGCCCTGCCGTGGTGGTCTAGTGGTTAAGGTACTCGGCTGTTGACCCGCAGGTTGCAGGTTCGAATCCCGGCTGCGGCGGCTGTATGTCCAATGGAGGCGGGATGTTGTAGGCCCGTGTACTCAGATTTGGGTGCACGTTAAAGAGCCCCAGGTGGTCGAAATTTCCGGAGCCATCCACTACGGCATCTCTCATAATCATATGGTGGTTTTGGGACGTTAAACCCCACATATCAATGAATGAAGTCGGCTGTACAGCGGTTGAATGTCATGCATGAACCCGTAAAAAATTCAAGTACCATCCGGTGTGGTAATATTAGAGAAATGCTTAGACAAACTGCCTGCAACTCATAATAATAATTGTTAGGGTTTAATGTCTCAAACCACGATATGGTTATGAGGGATGCCATAGTGGAGGGCTCCCGAAATTTAGATCATCCAGTGTTCGTTAATGTACACTGACAGCGCTCAAAACATGGGCCTCTAGTATTTCGCCTCACTAAAATGCGACCACCCCTGTTGGGTTCAAACTCGTGACCTTCAGTTCAGCGGCCAAGCACTGTAACAGCAGCACCACGACGGCGGACACCTGCAAGTGAACTATATGAAGAGTAGACCCAGTATGAGTTGTAATATATTGTCTCAGTCTTATCCTGAGGCAGCCTTGAAGTTTTGTTACATTAAGGTTCGAAATACATGGTGTTTCATGGGCATTAAGTTGTGAAATGTGAAATGCTTCATTGTATTGAGAATCTCATTATAATAAAGTTTGTTATATAGAGGTTTAGCAGTATATCTGAAAACTTTCAAGTCTTAGAAAGTTGTGGACTTAAAGTAACTATGTTCTTATTCATCTCTCTCACAGTACTAGTGAAAACGGTAGCCTTCATTGGGTATGGTAAACAAATTTGGCTTCTGTAACAGCGTGTCTCTGCCAGTGACCACTAGCGTGCATGCTTCATGTAGTGGTTAAGTGAATGGCTTCATGAGCTCTATTAATTAAATGGCTTATTTTAAGACAGAAATAACCAGCAATATTTTATATCAATGCACTGTTTGATAACACAGTGACATGGCTATTTGCTTCTTTTCGTGATTATTCTGCCTGATAGTTAACTTATTGTAAACAAACTTAATTTAAATACCTGTACTAGTGATTACTACCCTAGCCTACTTTCTCACTTCAACTTATATTTTCTCTACTTCTGCCTCGGGGCTAAGCAGCTGTTATATTCCACTGCTGGGCACGAGGCTGCATGTTCAGTCTTTGTGTCTAGGGACTTTTTTTTATATAAGGTTGCAGTGTAGAAGTGCTGGTGTCTTGAAATTCTATTGTTGAATAGCGAACCTCATATCCTCAGTATTAATCTCCAGTCCTTTATTATGTCACCTTTCATAACTCAGCAGTAGCTTTTCAGTGCAAGTGCAGCGGCAAACTGCATCAGTTATTTTTTTTTATAGTTGGCATTCACCAGAAAACGATCTAGAATTGCCTCTAAGTGGGGAATGTGGAATAGACCTCTCCCTGTTTTCAAACAGTGTGACTACGAGCACCCCGCCCATAATACCCACTCTCGGAGCAGATTCTAGTTAGCAAGAGAGTTTTGATAGGGGGATCTTTCTGAATAGAAGTGCTGCATTTCTTTGAAGTTTTTGTGAATCGCTATTTTTTAAAGTCACAGCTTTTAAAAGGAAGGGTCACTGTCTATAATGCATGACTCTATTAGGGTAACATGTGGCATTTGCTTGAGATAGATAGCAGCCCTAAAGAATCTTATTTTCTTTGAAAGCGAACGTTTGGCATGTTTACAGTGAGTGGTGCTTTGAGAAATATTTGCATGGCTTGGATGTGAACATACTCAATTTCTGTAGAAACATGTGCACTGCAGTTTTAACAAGGCACAGCATTGGCGACAGAATGATTTCAAGCTGCTCTGCGCAAGGTCATGGATAAGATTCTTGCTGCGCAAAATTCTGATCGCAGATAAATGAGAAAAAAAAAACAAGAAAACACTTTTTGCCATGCGTTAGATTGTGGTTCTTCATAACCCACTGACGTCCCACGACTTTCTTCATAAGCCACTGAAAATTTATTCGATTTTAAACCCGATATTTTAATCATATACATTATTTTTTGCGCAGTTACCTTGCTGCATCTTATGCTTACAGCTTGTTTGTATACTTATTTCACACCTTTAGACCTGATACCCAGGCTTGTTATGGGCATTGTCACTCAGTAAAATTCGAGCTGTAAAGGTACTAAGTATATGGCAAACAAGAATCTCTCCTGTTTTGATTAAGACATATTAGGTCTCTGATAACATGAGTTATACGTTTATTGGGTTTGCATAGTCACTGTGTTAAAGCTTCGGCAATGCTAAAACATTTTGATAGCTCATGTGTAGTCGTATCTTTCAACCCGGATCATGAGGTTCTGTCGACAACTGGTCACTGCCACCGACGCACAATCAGTGCCAGTGTTTTCGCAAACAAGATACGCATCATTATTTACACAGCACATACCATACACAATACTTTTAGTTTCATCGTCTGTAAAGGTGAACCAACATTCTCGATGTCTTTCAACAAACACTACAGGCCACAACAAACACTGCACATTTTCGAAGACGCCGCCGCTGGCCCTCACACAGGCTGTCACGTGTGTTCACTTCTCGAAGATAAACAGGCAGTCAATCTGGCAAGTTTTTCGTCGCTCAGTTTACCACACACATGTTCTTTGACACATGCCACAGCTAATCTCTCTGCAGTAAGATGAAGTTTATGCTTAAAAAAAAAAAAACTTGCCCCAACCACTGTGCAACTGTCGACGCTGAACCACTAGCGGGGGTATTTTGCCAACCGCTGCCTTGCATGTGTGCCGGTGACATCATGCTGCGATGTACCACAGAGATGTCTGTTATGATAGTAGGTACTGCTTTGTTGTGGCAAGAGCAATCATCATGGTTATTTATTTATTTATTTAGTCAATACTGCCAACTTCTATACGAAGTCATAGGCAGAAGTGGGTTAAATATATATGCATTTGATATTACATTCTCCAATGCAAGAAAATAACAGAAAGAACTTATAACAAAAACAATGCATCGAGGGGAAAAGTCTAGAAGAGGTGTAATTTAGAAACATTGAAAACATGAGTTAATGTAACACTTTTTTTTCCTCTTGCACAGAATGAGCGAGTTTTACCTAAAGAAAGGGCATGAACAACTGATACATCGGCACAATGAGCAAAAATAAAAATAAAGTATGCGCACAGAGTAACACACAAATGAGCTAGCACTTAACACAGCAAAGCAATACAACTCAGACACACAGAAAAAGTTTGATGCAGAGCCAATGATAATAATACTAAAAACGACAACAAACCAATCAAATGATTGCTGCCAGATTTACTATCATATTCAAGAATGAAGAAGCAGTTGTGGATGATGCAGCTTCATCGAGCAGCATGTTCCAACTACGTACTGTTCAAGGAAGGAATGGTTTTTGGAAAGTAGTGGTTTTACATGAAAATTCTTGAACTTTCTTGCTATGGTACGATTATGTTATTTGTGATTTTGACAGTTCAATATATTTGCCTCGATCAATTTTTATGTGGTTGTGATAGGTCTGATAAAATAGCTAATCTTTCACAGGCATGTCTGCGTTCTAAGGGTTCCAAGTTAGATTTTTCCAGGAGGGCTGAAGGGGATGTGCTTCTACTGTAAGAGTTGTAAATAAACCTTACGGATTTTCTTTGTATGCATTCCAGTTTTTTAATATTTGCTAATGTGTGAGGGTCTCGTACAGCAGACGCTTATTCCAGAATGGGTCCCACATGTAATAGCGAAATGTCAGCCATATAACCATACAGATGAATTGAACAAAAAGAACGGGGGGGGGGGGGGGGGGGGGATTAAGGGCATCATTTTTTGTCATTATTATGAAGCCAAAGAATATTGAACTTTTTTTGTTGTTGAGCACTGCTGCAGTTGTTGGTTAATACCTATTGGTAGCATTAGCAGATTGTCTCTGGCAAATTTAAATAATTTATGTTGAGTATTTGGACATTAACATGTAACCAAGCTGTTTTGCTTCTGTTGTTTGAGTGCTTGCTTGTAGAGTAGCAAAGGTATATGGATAGATGCTAGACAGAATTGTTTGCTCTTATTATATGAACATGAATGTTAGTCATCAGTCTTGAAAAGAAATTCACCAGCTTGCTTGCCGTGCATATGTTGTTGGAAGCACATGGAATAATGCCAGAATGAAAGTTTAAATTTGAAGTTGTAGTGCATATCCTTACCTTAATCATGATGCACAATGGCAGTGCACTTCAAGACAAGAACGTAATGTATAAAGACAAGCTCTTTGCTCAACTGCTAGGCACAGTTGCTATCCAGTGCTGTGTTCATCCGTGCATGTTCTGTCCTAGTGTAAGTACACTGCCATTACTACCATTTTTGATAACTAGTGCTGTTTTCCTGTTGAAGGTGTCTTTTGTGTGCCACTCGAAGGTACATTGCTGTGAGGATATTTCAGTACCACTTGCTTTTTTAAGGCTAAATTCTTTATAGCATAAAGCCAGTTACTGGCACATTTGTAACAAATGGCTGTGTAAGCTGAATCGTAAGGTTATGACAGTTGAATTGTCTAACTGGCCAGGAATGCACTCAATCATACCAAAATAATATCCCCCACCACATGTTGTTGTCGCTGGTTTTAGATTAGGAATGCCTTTACTAATCAAGAATCACTGAAAATGGAGAATAGGATAAAGAAGCCATCTCTAAAACGTTTGCAATTTGACCCACTGTCCTAATAGTGGGATTAGCTGCAGCTTTTCTTCATACAGGGTTTCTATTAAGTTGGCTTAAATTATGAAGACACTAACAGTGTTTCATTCATGTAGTTCTTCATTCTTTAATAAGCAAAGCTACTAGTTGTGAGCCACTAACTGCCTAGTAAACTTGAGAGATGTCTTGATTCCAACGAAGTGTGGAGACAAGCATTTATGTCTGAGTGCAGCCAATAATGAAAGTTAAATGGGGGTTAAAGGTACTGACTCTATAGGGCAGGGGTCTCAAACTCTTCTCAGCTACCGGGTCGCAGTCATGAAATTTAGTTTAGCCTTTTTACTGTTCCTGCAAAAAGCCGGGGCAGTAAAAAGTTGGAAGCAAAGAAGGAACAGGGGAGGGGAAGGGAAAGTTGAACAAAATGTCAGCTAAATTTACCGTATGTCATATATGGCAATATTACTAATATGTCATATATGGGTAATTTCTGAAAGGCATCAGGGTTAGGGAAACATGTCAATACCAATCTCCGCAATGACGAAAATATTGACTGAAGTATATAGTTTTTACTTTACCGTTATGTTTAAACTCAAGGTGACTTAATGGGGTACCTCACGAAAAAAATGCTCAAAATCAATCACATCTGTGTAGCTTACCCGAACAAAGCATTATTAATGACGATAGATGACAAAATAATGCGAGCACCATTTACCCATGTCACAAACAGCCACAAAGTCTTGGGGGAAAAAAAGGCAAACCTTGCATTAAGCACTAAGCCATGCAAGCCTTGAAACAGTGAAACTAGAAGATTATAAAGACTAATCTAGTTGTTTCTAGGTTATTTCTACACCTTAGCTAGGTGATAAGGGTTGTTTTTAGGTTGCTTCAAGGTGATTGCTAGGCTTTAGCTAGGAGATGTCAGATTGTTTCTGTCTTGATTATCGTTGCGGAAAGGTCAGAGTTAGACCATACTTGATACAGATGTCCAACACAAACTAAACCAAGTGTTCACACCTCTCATACAGTCACAGACACAACATGAATGTCTTACCAGACACGACAAGCGTTTGAATCTTTCATAGATATACGGGAACGCTGTCATTGGCGTAGGCTCATCATCACTTAGGGGTCTTCTCGCATTCGCTCTGGCCTTTCCGGAAATGTTCTCTAGTAGTGTAGAGTAGAGCCTCAAATCTGTGGCACACACCCACACTGGGGGATCGGGCAAGGACTAGATAGTTTTTAGAAAAGAATTATTTAATAAAGGTTGAATATTTTCAATTTAAAAGAAAAATGAAACAAGAATCTATGAGTGAAATAATATAATGTGATGGAATATAAGCAATTCAGTAGTAAGTAGTAAAATTTACCCAATTCCCCTTTATTACGGTAGCTTCAACAGCATCACTGTTAAAAATGTGGAACGAACACTGTCGTGTGCAGGCTGGGGCTGCTAGTGACAAGTCAACGGATCGGGTGTTTGATGCCTTGCTATAGGGTTTAGGGGTGGTTCTTCATTTCCTAAAATAGTTCCATTGACTTAAGAGCTAACATATATTTTATTAATTTTTGAAATGCAACTTTTGCAGTATGAGTATAATTACTTACTTGAGGTAGAAAATTCCTGTTTTCACATTGAATATGCAAGATGCTGCCTACTGTATGTTATTGGTGTACTCAATGTTTGCAAACTCTTATGCTTTTCATTCTTTTTTGCAGCCATGAGGGTCGACTACTTCCTCAAGGACCCTGATGAGCTTAAGGACTTTTTATCTACGAACTTATCACTGCCAATTCGAGATCTGGATGTTTTATTTAATTCTTCTCTAGATATGAGACAAGTAAGTTGGGCTGTTTGATCAATACAGATTGCTCTTTGTAATATATTTTGTTTGCTCTTTATTGTTCAGGAACTTATTTTAACTACTTTACTTTGGTTTTGGTTATCTGAATTAAAAAAAGAATCGGTGTAAAGTTGCAGGCTTTTTTACACTTATTATGTTTAGAAAAACTTAATTTTAGGGCATGTATATTACTATTAGGGATGATGTTTCTGAAATATACTTCAGTTGGAATGGATATATTCGTATTTTTTTTTGTCAAACATTTGGCATACTTACTTTTTTTTTCTTAAGGGGAGATGTAGGTTCAAAGACACGAGTTTTTTTTTTTTAATTACCGATCTTTTGTTCTCACCTGTTTTGATAAGATTAGTACCTCTACTGTCATGGAAAAAAAAGGAACTATGTCAAGAGTCTACTGGAAATGCTTTAAGATTGCTTCTAAAGAGCACAAGGTAGCTGTTAAAAGGCCGAAAATGTGCAGTCTTCGACCATCTTGTTATTGATGATGCATCGCCGCTTGCCATTGTCGATTGCATAAGGTGAAAAGCCGAGCCTCACTCTTCAAATTACGACGGTTTCTCGCGCTGGTGCAGCATGAGAAATAATAAAAAAAAGCACACTTTTGTCGCATTTTTTGAGCACCAGGACTGGTTTTTAAATCGCGTAGTACAGAACGGGAACTGTCATTGGTCGCTGCGTGCCAGTATGTGCTGTGAAGCTTACTAGCTAGGTCCGTGTCTCGTCGAGCAGTGCTGCTGAACAACGCTTTTCTAATGTGTTTTCCTTTAAAAGATGTGGCGGCCCGCTTGGTAGAAATGGGCTACGAGCAGCTGGTCTGATTTGCGGTGATTCTTGGCTTGCAAAAGCAAATGCATCAAAGTCATTCACAGCCATCAGCCAAAAAGTCTGTGATGCGGCAATGGATGCCTTGTGTGTCAATCATGTGAGATCTAGGTGGGGACGACATTGCCGTTATGTACGACGGTACATGGCACAAACGCTACCACAAGAGCCAAAATGGCATCGAAACTGTTGAGTCCCTCGACGCTGGACTTAGTTTAGATTTAGAAGTCCTGTCGAACTTATCCTTAGCTTTAAGTCGGCACAAGGCTTTGCCAGATGGAGCGGAAGAAGTGTGATAAGCTCTTCATGTCTCTTCCTGTGTGGGAAATGTCTGTGAGGAGTCAGCTTGAAAGAGTCGTGAGGGACAAACTTATGGTGCTGACACATATTAGTGACAGTAGCCACTACGGAAGAATTGTTTTTTTTTTGGTGTGTAAATTTTACCACACTTAGTGATATCTTTTATAAATAAAAATTTAATTTTTACTTTAAAATTTGTTTTTCTCAAAGCACAGGTTTTGCCAATTTTTTCAATGTGCCCCTCCCTTTTCGAGTACTTCTGGTGCTCGGATCTGCATAAAATCTTGCCAAAATTTTTTTCCAAGGTATCACAAATGCAATTATCTAGCTTACATTTCAGTTTTTAATATATAATAAAATTTTTTATGTAAACCTCTACTAGGGTAGGAGAAATATGAACTTTTTCGCATCTATTACATGTTTTGTTATTTGCATTCTACACTTTATTTGAAACATTATGAATTATGAATTGTAAAAAATTGTGGAAGTTTATTGATGAAAAGAGGAGGGCAATATGCTTAAGGTTTTCACTTTGTCACGTTGCAGAGTAAGGGGACTGTCTACTGTCCTTCATTGCTCTCCTGTTTTGTGGTGCAATAAAAAGTCTACCACGTGAAGTGTCTAACCTTACAGCGGTTTCTTTGGAAAGTGCGTAAAAATTTTAAAACAGAATTGTTCTGTCCGCATTCTGTCTACTTCTATCGGTGGGATGAATGCCCACAACATTGGTCGGTGCCAATGAAAGTCAAAAACTGAAATCGTGTTCGGTTTTCGCAGTCTTCTTCAAGTTTTGTTTATTAATAAAACAAATACCTCAGCGGTCGTTTTAGGCATGCACACACCTTTTTGTTGTCCTCGTGAGCGGCGGCGGACGCCGTGCTTCAGTTTCTCCGGCCTTTGCAGGCAGGCATGCAGGCAAGCGAACACACCGCCGGCAGCACCACTGGGCGCCTACTTGAATGCGTGAAAAAAAAAAGCAAAAATTGGACTCTGGCGCAACCTAAAGCTGCCTCAAGTGCATAAAATACAAATTTAAGTTAAACGTGTTTGTTTTTAGGCAAACTAAATACACCTTCGAGAATTTCCGTCCTACCAATAGGCTGTCATGATTGACCTCATTCGCTGTTAGGTGACACTAGTGGTCACTTTTTTATCGACTTTCAACATCAAGTTAAAATTACAATTGCTTTTTTCTGGCACAAAAGCATGCTCACTGCCACCGATGAGATGAACGGTCTTTTCAGTTCCGCCACAATCAGAAAAAATTTTCAGAGCGGTAGACAGTTTTTTTTTAAGTATTGGACTTGTTAGAAAACTAGTGATATATTTTAAATCCACATATAAAGTTCTATAACCAGCTGAAGTTTCATTGCTCTAGGGTGAATATTAAAGAAAAAGGTGTCTTCAAGTGGCATCTCCCCTTAATTAACGAGAAGTGAACAAGCATTAGTTAAAAGCTGATTAGATTACCTCTTTCACAGAGAGTATCGTGAAGATTAGTGCAGTGGTTAAAAGTTGTTCAGGTCACCACCTTCATGGAAAGGTTCTCACTTTCATGTTGGTTCTTACTGGAACTGACTGACTGAAGTGCAGAGTATTCTGTATGCAAATTATATTGGTGTTTCATATAGGCAGGATGTTGTATTAAACTTACCTGTAATTGAGGATCCCCTGAGTATGTGAGTCAAGTGTTATTGGACTGCAGCAACATTTTCACAGCTTCATCTGAGAAACAGCCAAAGATTGCTTGCTCTGTTATTGTAATGTCATAATGAACTGTGCAGCAAGTGGGTGCTAGTGGCCACATTAGGGCCCAACAGGCATTGGCTGTGACTGTGAGAACAATCCCTGTAACAGTAACAGTGCTAATTTTTATTTTGAAAAATATATGTTTGTGATATACGAAAAAATCTATTTTGTCTTTGCTCTTCCTCTCTTGTTCGACAAATATCCTAATGCTTCTTTTTCTCCTGCATGAATACTAGATAGCAGCTTGTGTTCTACATGTGTGTGCTCTTTCAAAAACTTGATGCTCAAGTCAGTCACTTGCATCGTATATATAGTTTGCTGTGACCAACAACCCTGTGGCACGAATTGCAAACACTATGTGACAGTTCTGCTGTTAGTGGCATAGCGTAGGTACCATGCTGCCATGAGGGGTGATTCTCGCCATCCTCTCACTGTCAGACAACTGCATGCACTCATTGGCCTCTCTTGGGGACGTACGTACCTCCGAGTGCATGGTGATGCAAGGAAGCTGAAGTAGCTTGAGCTCTTTTGGAGGGTGCTATGCATGCCTGAAGCAAAACTAGTGGCCAGAATGTTTAAAGAAAATGAGAAGAGAAAATGTATAATGTAGTGTTGCATAGGAATGTAACTCTTGTGCGGGGCTCTGCAGTCTTGCAATCTGCTCCTGTATAGCATCTATCATGGTCGCAGAGGCAAAAGGAGTGAGGAACTTCCTGTAGCTCTGCTATATACTTGATGAGTTAGAAAAATTTCTTGATTCTGGACATCTGTGAAGCAATATAGTCTAAATAGTGAGGCCATTCATGATTAATCTAAATGGTTTTTCAAGTTTAAAGGGCCAGTAAACAACCCTGCGGTCTAAAGTTTGTGATGAAGAGATAGCTGCACATTTGTACAATGGGGTCATGTTGTCGTAAGGATTTTGCAAATAAAGGGTGTAATAATGAAGTTAGAGGGGTTGAAACGACCATTTTGGATGGGTTTGGTTTCTTGAGCAGCCTTTGCCACCCTCCCTCGATTGTGCAGATGAGTAGGCTTAGTTCATTCTCATGACTATGCCCCCATCCCCAATGTAACATCACATCAATGATTAGATCTTTGGCATACAGCCAATCTCCATTCAAGGCTTCCTGCAAGTGCCGCTTGTGGGATTAAGAAGTATGGTGCAAAGCACTGATGAGGTAAAAAAAATGATCAACGTGCACAAGTGCACAGCCAAGACCGCATTACCATAGAGCCAAGGTACAGTTTGGTAGTGTAGAGAACAATCGACAAGCTAGTGCCATGTAATGAATCAACAAATAAACTTTATTTAAAGTCCGGCAGTTTTCTTCGGGTGAGGCAGATTGAAGAGGGGTTTAACCACTGTCCTCACCTTCTTTCGATGAGTAATTATGTGCGGGTAATGTTTCATTACATCGCTTAGCATGTGATGAGGGCCAGGCAGGTATTATGAGGTGCATGGGAATTGTTTTTCAAAATGGAGCGTCTGTGTAATGCGCTAGTTTGTAGTATTCGCAAAGTGTTATTGTCGCAACCTTCTGTATGAATGAGCGAGCATGCTTGAGAGTTTTAAAAATAGTCATGAGCCTGTTTACAGGCCCTGTTCAAAATTTAAACATTATTCTTAGTGCTTTAACAAACTACATCTGTTATTATTCTTAGGGCTTTAACATACATCTGCCGCAGTTGTGGTGCTTGTCTGTTTATTCGATCCCAGCCGATGCTGTCGTATTTTGATAGAGGTGAAACGCTAGAGCTAGAGCAGGGATTCTTTAAAGTTTCTGGCCTTGGGGAAACCCCATGGCTTTTCCAAAATGCTGGGGAACCCCTAACTATTTCTTGAGCAAGAAAACAATTGAAGCAGGGGAGGGGGTAGAGGGAGGAGGTGATAACGCCTCTCGACACACGCAACCACAGTATTAATACTGCCCCACATTGGCCTGTTCTCTTTTCTTTAATATCAAATGGCATCACTGCTGATGTAGAATTTCTGATAATACATAGCAACACCTACAAAGAGCACTAAAAAATCTCAGTGTATCAAAAATAGGCCGCGTGATGGCCAACGCGTCATGAGCCATGAATAAAGCTGTGAGGGACCCGTTAATGTTGTTTTAATTGGCTTGAATGTCCATGAATCGTGAAAGCTTTATGGCATGCACCAGATGGTGAATCGTTAATGCTGCTACCACGTGGTTCTTTCGTTACCCGCAGACACCCGATGTGAAGATGCGATGTGTGATGGCTTTTCCAAGTGCAAAATTTAGTGCAAATTTGCTTGTCTATATCGACAAGAAGGAGTTGAGTAGGAAAGGCAGGGAGGTTGTTCAGTCCGGGATAACAATTTTGCTACCTTACACATGGGAATGGGATGAGATCGGTTGCTAATAGAGGTAAGACGGGACCTGGCTGCGCTCATTCTGGCCAATCGGGGAACCTTGTGACGTCCTTTATAGAACCCCTAGGTCTCGTGGAAGCCAATGTGAGAACCCATGTGCCACAGGCTTGTGTACTTTGCGACGTCAGCGCACGTTATAGAACACGAGATCGAAATTTCTGCAGTCCTCCACTACAGCATGCTTCATAATCATATTGTGGCCTTTGCACTTAAAGTCCCAGTTATTATTATTAATACTCTAACTTTCATGCTTATTTGAATGTGCTTTGATGTGCAAACTATAGCATTCTGGCTTGCCATGTAGACCTGACATTTTTTTCTGCATTTTCTTTAATTGCTTCCTTTTCACACAAGTTTCTACGGTTTCCTGTTTTATCTAAATGTGGACAGAACATGATGTGCCAAAGTCGTATTTCGACTGCCTGATTGTACAGCAGACTCTCATTAATTCAATCTTGTTTGAATTAGCAAGTGGTTTGAATTATCAGAAATTCTCAGATATATGACTCAAGGTGAGGTGACACCACACATTATGATTTGGCATTGATTTTATTACATAAAGAATTTTTAAGTGTTTTTAAACCTTAACTGCACGCAATAAACGGGAAGCAGAGGTGCAAGTAAATGGCCAAGTTTGTTGGCCATTTACTGCTGATCAGACGTTTTAAAGGAATTGTGAATTGCCAACTGCTTCTTTGCTATGTGTGCCCTTAGCACAAAGCTCTCTATATACCAGTTGATAAGCGTCACAGTTTACCGTGCATGTGCTTTGTTTCAAACATTTGTTTACTAGAAAAAGCCTTTCTCCATGGAGGCCTGTGGTACCTATTTTTAATTTTCAGACTGTCAGAATTATATAAGCATGCAAATTTTAAAAAAGGTAGTGAAAAATCAGCAGATTTCTTCTTGTCTGGAACTGCTAGAAGTATGAATGAACCGATTGATGGAGTTTGAATTAAGAGGCTTTTAAATAAATAGAAAGAATAAACAGCCTACCAAAAATTGAATTTCGTTTGAATTAACCAAAGGTATTAATTAGCATAGTTTGAATTATCACACTTTAGCTTGCAATCAGGTAGGCATATCACTGAAAAATAGTACATGAGGCACAACTGCCAGGTTACAGATAAAATTATTGTGTGACCCAAAATGAATGGTTCCTATGAGTTCCTAGCCATGCTTTGCTGTGTTGGTTTTTGATGTGATGAACCAAGTGGTTTTAGTTGAATGAGCAACCAGGCTTTCACCTCATTACCTTCCATTGAAGGCATATGTTCTGCATATCTTTTTCAGGTCTACTTTTCCTTGTTTGGCCAACCATTTAACAAACATCCTGATGAGTCACTGGACCCTGCGTCATCTGCTTTGGAGAATCAGCAGCACCACTTCAGTGCTCGTCAGGCAGTGTCCAGTGCACCTGTCTTCTTAGTGGTGCCCAGCTTTTTGCCTGGAATACATCTCAGCTTTCAGCATCTTGAATTTATCCTCAAGCTGATGCGTACCTATCCTCATGAGTCGGCACATCTGCTTAGTGTATTGCGATGGGTTCTTGACACGGATCATTCCCAGCCACCTCCAAAAATTAATCCCGAAGAAGCAGCATCTAGTCTTGTGGTAAGTGCACATGTTTAGATCACATTGGTGGTTGCTTTCCTTTGCCCCCCTTTTTTTAGTGTGTTCAATATTACCATTACACTTTAGCTACCATTGTCATTGTCGGGACCAAACTTGTGACCTTCACATACCGTGTCCGATACTCTACCAACCGAACTACTATGGCGGCTATCCCCCCTTTCACTTTATGGGGTACGTATGTGTATTTAAACATTGGTAGAGCATCGGGTGCATTACTTGAAGGTCGCAGGTTCCATCCCTGCCCACGGTTAGTTATCTCTTTGTCCACTTTTCTTTCTTCACAATTACATTACAATTACTTCTAATGACATTCCCTATACTTTCCTTGGCATAATTGTCTGTCAGTTCTTATTATTATTGTGTCTAACAAAGAAAATTAACCCTTAAATTTTTGCTTCTTTCCTATTTGCATGTTTCAAAACACATGCAGAAAGTGCTCACGACAAAAGCAATGACTTGTGGGTGTTACAAAAGTATCTATGATGGCAATTGGGAATGCTTTTGCAATGTCAACTTGTGAAGTGGCTGAAATTGAATATATTTGTTCGATCTAGCCATGTTGATCATAAAAATTACATGTATGCAGAAACAATGATTAAAAACACCTTTGCTTCTGCCAGGAGGTGCAGTTTTTGATGCCATTTTTAAATGGCTTCAAGTGTGCCTGTGCACTTGCCATTGTATGGCTTTGCTCCAGAGAGTGTGTATACTTTTTCACCAGAGCTGTTATGCTCATGGTTTGCGGTGTGTCGTAGATAGAAAATTATTATAATCATGATTTGGCACATGCTCTTTTCATCCTTTCCATCCTTTCTGCTTCGCTCCCAGAGCACACACACTGATTTGTCCAGTGCGGGATGCAATAATTCTGATGGGCAAAAGAAAAAATATTGAGCAAGAAAAAGTATGAAAAAAGAAAGAAAAAGAAGGCGTGAAAGAGAAATTTCTAGAGAAAAAGATTGCTTGGCGAGGGGAGATTCGAACTCGCATACCCATGGCCTGAAAGCTGACCTGGCATGCTAGCAAAGCGTAGCGTAGCCTAGTATAGAATGTAGAAATGAAAGCTAGGATGAGGGTGAGAGATGTGAGGAGGAGAAGAGGGTAGAGAGTAAAAAAGAGCAAAAATCGAGAAAAAGGGAAGGATAGAAATTGAAGTGAAAAATAGAGGAGGAAATGAAGACAGATAAAGAAAGATAGAAAGAAAAGTAAATAATGATATAAGAATAACTACAGACAAAAAAGGATACAGCAGGCATAACCATGTATAGTATAGTATGGTATAGCAAGGGATAGGAAAGAGAGAGGTGAGAGGGTAAAAGCCTAGCCAAGCCGGTACCAGCTAGGTGACTACCAGCTGTGCTATGATGCAGCCTTGTTGAACTTGAAACAAGTTGCGTAACCTTTAGTGATTGAATTAAAAAAGCTGATTTTTTTGTCGAGATTTGCATCTGTCCTATCTGAACATTGAGGACACTCTTTGAGTTTATAAAAAAAGAAACAGAAAAAGAAGATTGTGCATTATGGTTGTGATTTTAGGCATAACTTTTTCTTTGCACCACCACAAATGCACCTTTGTAATGATAGTTATGGGCACATCTATTGCCCTTGTAGAATTATGATGCATTTTTTTAATACCCCAAAGATATGGTACATTTTTTTACCAAAACTTTTTTGAATAGTGGAGACCAAAACAGAATGAAATACAGGAAGCATTTTATTCACATTTTAATGTTTTGCACTGTGTCCCACCTTATTCTCGTGAAACAAAAGTAAAAGACAGCCTCAGTATAGTGTGTAGAGCTAGTTGGTGTAACATAATGCCTGGTGTAGTGAGAAATTACCTGGGCACAAGAAGAAAACGGAGTAGACGAAACAAGTGCTAACTACCAACTGTTTAATTCAATCAACACATATTCTGATATATAAAGTTATTTATGTATGCTGTAGTCCTTTATGAAAGAGAACACATGAGCATGTGGCCGGTACTCTGCGGCAGCTGCCTGGAGCACCATCAACTGACAGCCAAAGCAAGCACGTCCGCTTTTGGGGACATGGCCTAATGCGAGGCCGAAGTGGGAGCATAATATAGCAGTGCTTGTCCAACAGCCATGATTTTATCTTTTTGTCTGCAAAGAGATCACGCCAAAAACAGACATGCTTTAGTCAGTCGTTGGTTGATAGCACTGTTGACAGCCGCCACAGAGTGCAGGTTACACACTCGCTTGTTCTTTTTCATAAAGGATGACAGTGTGCATTTTTCATGGCCATTTTCATATGTAAAGGTTCACGAAAAAAAAAGACATAAATCTAGAATATTCTTTTTAGAGCCATTATGAGCTACTATTAGGGGCCTGTTTTAGAGGCATTAAAGGGACTTTAAAGTCAAATAACAATTCATGTCAGAGTGAAAGCTCAGTGTATGACGTCTAAAACGACAATATTATCAACGACTGTGCCCTACGTACTAAAAAATTATGGTAAATCCACGAGAACACATGCACTACGATAGGACATTCGCAAAATTATCCCCATTACGTCGGAGGTACCACCTACAATTACTAGTAATTGAACTAGCTGCACTAAATAAAGAACCTTCCGTGCATCAATAGATGTAATAAAATGCTGCTTGTTAGTTTCTGTTCGATTCATAGAAAAAAGAACTGGCAAATGTTGATATCTAAAGTTACTATGTGGCATGGTGCGAGTGGTTCAAAAATTCAATTTTTGCCTTGGTAAACTGGACAGGTCATGCTATTTAGCGAGGCCCAGTTGAATCAAGCACACCTGCAATATTGAAGGTCATGGCTAAAAATTGTTCAATGCCCGTTGTTGCTGTGGCTCCCACTACTTTCACTTTGCTAGTACTATGGTGTTGGTGGCTGCGCATAAAAGAAGGTCAACGTTGTGCACGGCAACAATGGCGTGAGACGTCCCGTTGAGGCGGGTAATTTGAAGTGCGCTAACCCGATGCGGACCACTAAAATGCGATTTTATTTTTAAATAAGCACTTCCTTGGCACTAAAGTAACACTACGAGGTTTCTGGACTTCTATTTCAACAACAATCATCATTATCATCATCAGCCTGACTACGTCCGCTGCAGGGCAAAGGCCTCTCCCATGTTCCGCCATTCAACTCAGTCCTGTGCTTCCTGCTGCCTTTTTATACCTGCAAACTTTTTAATCTCATCTGTCCACCTAACTTTCTGTCTCCCCCTAACCCGCTTGCCTTCTCTGGGAATCCAGTCAATTACTCTTAATGACCAGCGGTTATCCTGCCTATGCGCTACATGCCCGGCCCATGTCCATTTCCTCTTGAGTTCAGCTATGATATCCTTAACCTCAGTTTGTTCCGTTATCTACTCTGCTTTCTTCTCGTCTCTTAAGGTTACACCTACCATTTTATTTTTCATTGCTCGCTGTGTCGTCTTCAATTTAAGCTGAAACCTCTTTGTAAGTCTCCAGGCTTCTGTGTCGTAGCTAGGTACTGGAAAGATGCAGCTGTTACATACCTTCCTCATGAGGGATAGTGGCAATTTACCTGTCATGATTTGAGATTGGTTACCGAATGTGCTCCACCCCATTCTTATTCTTCTAGTTACTTCAATCTCGTGGTTCGACTCCGCGGTTATTACCTGTCCTAAGTAGACATGGTCTTTTACAACTTCAAGTGCACTATTACCTCTCGAAGTGCTGTTCTCTCCCGATGTTGTTGAACATTACTTTCATTTTCTGCAGGGTAATTTTACGACCTACCTTTCTGCTCTCCTTGTCTAACTCCATAATCATGAGTTGCAATTCGTCCCCTGAGTTACTCAGCAATGCTATGTCATCGCCGCAGCGCAGGTTACTAAGGTACTCTTCATTAACTCTTATGCCTAACTCTTCCCATTCTAGGCCTATGAAAAGCTTCTGTAAGCGCGCGGTAAGTAGCATTGGGGAGATTGTATTCCCTGCCTTACACCCTTCTTGATTATTATTCTGTTGCTTTCTTTATGAAGCACTATGGTGGCAGTTGATCCCCTGTAGATTTCTTCCAGGATGTTTATATATGCTTCGTTGACGCCCTGATTCCTCGTTGTCTGCATGACTGCTGATATTTCTACTGAATCAAGCGCCTTCTCGTAATCTGTGAAGGCAATGTACAGTGGTCAGCTGTATTCTGAGCATTTCTCTATTTCCTGATTGATAGTATGAATGTGGTTGATTGTTGAGTAGCCTGTTAGAAATCCTGCTTGTTCCTTTGGTTGATTGAGTTCTAATGTTTTTTTAATTCTGTTAGCAATTACCTTTGTAAATAGCTTGTATACGATATACAGCAAGCTGATCAGCCTGTAAGTCTTCAAGTCCTTGTCATTTCTTTTCTTATGTATTAAGATGATGTTAGCATTTATCGACGATTCTGGTACCCTCCCCGTCAGGAGACACTTCATAAACAGGGTGGCTAGTTTTTCTAACACAATCTGTCCTCTGTCTTTTAGCACATCTGATGTTACCTGATCCACACAAGCAGCTTTGCCTCTGCATTCCTTCCAAGGCTTTTCTGTAGGCTTGTGCGAATAGTGAATTTTTGGTTCGAAGCAAATATTGGTTTTGGTCGAATAATTTCGAATTGAACTCGAATAGTAAAGAAAAATAGGCATATGCATTATGACGTAACTAACCCGTGCAACATTTTTAATTGATTTAGAGCCTCTATGCAAATGCCTTTTCTTTTTCTCATTTAAAGAAAGTCAAAACAAGTATGAGTAGTAGCAGAATTTGACTTTCGGTAGGATGCAAGTGATGACCAGTAAATTACTTAACATTTTAAAATATATTAGACGTAGAGCATATAAACCGTCATAACAAGCTTTTAAGTCTAATAAATTGAGGAAATGATTTCAGGGTAACACGTTCATTTAAAGGAGACCTGCAACACTTTTTCAAGTAGCCATGGAATGGATTCACTAAAGAGTCCTATTTCGCTGCTGCAAACATT